TTGAATGTCCGCTTGGACTGTCTCCCAGTGTGCCAGTCCAAGCATCCCGTAGACCATATCCCGGGGATCGGTTGCCGTCCGGTCACGGAAACTCCTGAGCAAGTTTTCAAGGGGCAACGGGTTGGACTGACGGTCAACGAGAGCCGAGACCTTCTGGTGGAAACTGGCGATGGGCGGGCGGTGCGCTCGACATCTGGGACTCCAGTTGACATCGCAGCATTTGAGAGCGAGGTGTTGACGAACGTTTCTTGCAGCGGCGGCGAAAACATCCCAGCCCATTTGGAGGGAGCCGTACTGAACTGTTGATCTCGAGGGTAACACGGCTTCTTGGACGGTCCATATGCGGGACCACCAGGGTTGCGAGATCAAAGAAAGGATTCCGTGTGTGCAGCGGTGATGCAATTTGACCGATTTGGGTAGAATGGGCCCATTTTTGTGGTAAGGGGATTCGTGGTAGAAGATGTGGTGGTTTTCGGCCAGTTTCTGCACCAGAGCAAAAGTGCTCTCCACGCCAAACTGGGAACCGATGGGTAGGTCGGGGTCAAAGAGGTGGTGAGGCGAAGGGGCTGGCTCATCGACATAGTCGCCGATGAAGAGGATTGTCTCCGTGGCCGACTTGAAAATGTCTTGCATCAAGCTGACCTGGTGGCCCTTCTCAACGTCATCGCTTTGGTTGATGCACACGGCGTCGGCCCAGATTCGCCGTTTGACTGTCTCGTATCTGAGTCGCTGCAACGCCGCTTCGAGATTCTTCGTCACTGCATAGACATGGTCGTCGACGATGATGTCGCGAGTGTCGGTTCGATCTCCCCAACAGTAAGAAAGCGACTCAAAGTCGGGGTTATCTCCGAGAGACACCTTGTCGAGAGTGCAAACGATGGGATCGCCACGCTGGCCGGGCTGCAGAGTGAGGATGCGTATTTCTCTTGTTTGCTGATCCAGCGGCCTGTACTGAAGCCGCATTGGGCTTTGTTTGCAATCATGTGGCGATGTTGCGACTGACGTCCGTGGCTGAGTGGAGATGGTCATGGCGAATGGATAGGGTTTTTCCTTAAGGTATCGCAACGAATGGAGTTGTCGCGATAAAAGTTGTGGAACGAAGCAGGCAGCAGTGGTGGTGTTCTACCCCGCACCCGAAAAGCACGGCTAAAATGGGGGCGGCTTCCTTCCCTCGCTGTTTCCTCTTTTGCTTATCACTTGACTTCACTCTTCATGTCTGGTTTCCTTTTTGACTGCAGCCAATCCTCTCCCTCAATACCCGGTAAGCAGCACCCATTCAACAACTATGGCAGCGCCCGAGAGCACCGCAGCGGCACAGTTCAGCCTTTTCCCGAATCTTCCCGCAGAGGTCCGCCTGCTGATCTGGGGGCATGCTTGCTGTGCCGAGCGAATCATCCCCCTCCTCCCAGGCCAGGGTCATCTATTTCCACGCGTTCATCCCACGCTTGCGATCCCACCCGCCCTGCACGCGTGCTCCGAATCTCGTCAGGTTGGCCTGAAGCACTATAACCTATTGTTTCATCCCCACCTCTACATCAACCCCGAATATGACCATCTCATGCTGCACGTGTTCTATCCGCAGCAGGTCATCGATCCCGCACTCTACTTGCGCCCCGTGGCCGGATTCCACTGGGGCGCAGCACCACGACGCCTCGCCGTCTTGCTCGACGATATCAGCTTCAGCCAGTCGTATCAGGATTCCCAATGCGCTGCATGGATAACCGACCCGAAATGGCGCCAACGTCTCACCCCGTTCTCGCAGGAGTTCATGTCTCTGCTAGTCTCATTGGGGGCCAATTTCGAGCACCTCACCCTCCTGGTGCTTCCCCCATTGACAGCAAGGCCCAACCCCACAGCTCATCGTTTCGACCTGGTCGACGGCACGCCAGAATTACTGCATATGAGCAAGTATCTCACGGAGCAGCTTCGGGATGGGATTCGCGGCAATGTGGTAGACCTTCCGTGGCTGGAGGAGGCCATGGAACGCGAGGGGACGGTACATGACGATGAACTTTACCGCCAAGTTCAAATTGAGGAGGCTCTAGCGACCGCTGTCCGGGTATCTGTCTGCCATGCCACGTGTGTTTCATGGGCACCCGACCTGGACGTGTCGTGGTCGGCTCCGCTACGCCAGCGTCATTCAGCAGCTCAGTATGCCGACATGAAGTTCGGCAACAAGCCTGTTCGCGAGGATCCCCCACCATTCCTTGACTTTATGGATCTACCCATGGCGGACCGCGGTGACCGGATTCGAGCCATCCGGAAGGACCTGAGAGCACTGAGCGAGCCATTCTGCGCCGACCTCGGGTTAGGTCCACATGTGATATGGGAGCAGAACGTGGCCACGTGTGGGACGAGCATGTTGAGCTGTGGGATCGGGTACGAGGCAGAGAAGCAGCTGCTGTGGTTGTTCGATCACGAAGACGCGGTGCCCAAACTTGAACGCCCACCAGAGTTCAATTTTGATGATTTCTTGAAGGAGACGCCGCGCCGTCCATCGCGGTCATCGGGGCGGGCTTTTAGCAACTGGGTTCACGGTATAATCGACGAAGAGCAAGAGGGCAAAGACGAGGAGGTTGAAGAAGAGGAAGTTGAAGAAGAGGCGGATGCATGGACAATGACCACTTTGCGGTTCAATGGGTTGGTTCATTGGGAGTGATGTGGGTCTGATTGGCTGGTCGTCAAGTGATGCAGTCTTGACTGCGAAGCTGAGGCAGTTGTGTGGGACACCTAGATCAGGGACTCTGCCCTTCTGGGGACTCAGCGAGACGGGTGTGCGCCACGCAGCCCTAAAAATTCGATTGGCTTTCAAAACTCGACGCAATGCTGTCACGCTAATCCTGAGAGAGCTTACCGACAGTTGGCCGTGGTTGATTGGGTGCGGCCGCTCCTGGGTCTGCCTTCTCGGGAGCCCAGGCAAAACTCTTGCACTTTGAGGTTGCACGGATGGCTGTGCCGTGGTCGAGGAAGAGATGATATTCCCGCATTCTTCAGGCCCGAAATTTCCAACACCTGACAGAACCTGAGGCCAAAGCCTCCATGATGCTGAAAGTCCGGCAGGATGGCAGCGCCGGCATTTGGATTCTCAGCTGGAGACTTCATCAACGCTATCAACCTGATTGTTGACATCAGCAAGGCTCTGAAGAGCGTGGGCGGCGCACGCGACGACTACCAGAGCCTCATCACGGAACTGAGCCTCCTACAGGGAGTGTTGCTGCATCTGCAGTCTCGACAGTCATGTTCCAACACCGAGGGCGTATTTGCCCCGTACGCACAACAGCAAGCAAAGCTCACCTTGTCGACTCTTAGCAAGTTTCTTATTCTGGTATCCAAGTTCGACAGCACGCTTGGCCCTGGAGGATCAGATCGGTGGTATCGGCATGTTGGCAAGAAGACGCAATGGGCAGTCGTGCATGCCAAGGATATTGATGGGCTCCGTGTGAGAGTTGGGAATCAGCTTCATGTGCTCAACACCATTCTTCAGCTCGATGATCGGTGAGTCCCCCCCTCTGGGGTACATTCTCCCAGCAAATTGTTGATGCCTTTAATACCCTTCAGCTTTGGGTCGTCTTCCGCCCAAATTCTCGCCTGCTTCGAGGAGATCAAGTGTCAAAACGAGAGCGTTCTTCAGCGGCTCAGCTCTCTTGACGACAAGGCATCCAGCCATGTCTTGGTCAAGATCGCACGGAGTCCTCGTCTTGCTGGGGCATCGGACTTGGCCCAACTCAGCGCAGGTCTCAGCCGTCGACGGTTGGCTCAAGGAGCGGGAGCGATTACCGAATTCGAAACCAATGCTCCTGGCACAGGTCGAGAGGATAAAGCCCTATTGCTGTTGTTGAGACTGTGCGTATCGACACTATTTTTGGAACCCACAACGTTTTAGAACAGTCATCTGATAACGATCTTGCCAGACTTTATGCAACCGCCCGTGATTTGAGGTACCTGTTGCTCGGGATATGGGCGTTCTTCCCAAGGTTCATGACCCTGACCCACGAAATTTCGTTCCGGCTCGGACGACAGCCATTACTCGTTGTATCCGAAAGCATCAACTTCGAGGACATGCTGGGAAGACGGTACACACTCCAACACGCGTATTATAGCCACTGGCCAGTAAGTTTGACAATTCAGATGTTTCTGTCCTTCTAAGTGGCAAAGGTTACTGACCTAAATGGTAGACGTTTGATGCATTCCTCCGCCGAACATTTCGTAACTTTCCAGGAGAAGACCTTGTCATCGGTGGCCACTACAGCCTCCTCAGCTCACGATCTCGCAGCTCACTTCCCGGGGCCCACCCAGCCAAGTGGGACAGCTTCTCCACCCCCGGCTGTGAGATATCGATGTCCGTTAGGGTAAAGCTAGCCAGGGTCGAGGGTTTGGGCGGGAGGAACTTGGACGATTGTCCATGGATTGAATGCGATGGAAAGTCACTGACGAACATGGGCAGAAACTCGTTCAGATGCTGGAAGTGCAACTTGACGTATCTCTTCCAAACCAACGACAAGAACACACATTACATCAAGATGTTTCCGAGATTCCTGCAGACCGAAGCTCCGACTGGAAAGCTCAGACTTGGCATGCTCGCTCAGGCAGATGTGTTCCGCAGGTCGAACCGGACAAAGAGAATCCTTCGCTGGGAGTGGATATGCTGCGGTTGCGGAAGAAAGGGGAGGGACATGGGGATGTTAACGGTGGACTGTCCTGGCCGAGCTTGCAGTCATGCTAGATGTGCAGACTGTCAAGTTCATCAGGTGCGTCGAAGACGAGGGGCGACAACGATCGAGTATGGAAGGGATATGAAGGCTAGCACCAGAATTTAGGCTTGCGGCCTCGCGCTTATTCACTGCATTCCATCCAACTAGCTGACCTGCAGAGAAACCACCCCTGACCTCGACACACAAACAGACAACACCATCACTCTCGCAACCCCCAAGTCCCAACACGCCCCCTTCCCCGCCGTCGAGACAACTCACTCTACGGCCCTGTCACAAACATCACAGCAAGGGCGTGTGGCTCAGTTGGTAGAGCGTTCGCTTAGCATGCCCACCGCATGCGAAAGGTCCTGGGTCCGGTTCCCAGCTCGTCCAAGGCAATGGCGAATACGAGTCATGGGATGGGTTGTCATCATTTTTGAGTCTTTTTGCACGACCCGCTTTGTTGTGAGTCGGGGGGTAAAGGATATGTCTCCCGGGTGGAGAAGTCATCTGTGGAAGGACCTTATTCCCCATGTCTTCAATGCTACCTGTAAGCTCTGCTTCTTCTGTTTTCACCTTTGATACGTTGCCCTGTATGCTTCTAATATCAACACGTAACAGGGACTCTTGCGCATTAACTACCTACTAGCGATGGCAACCACTGTGCCATACCTCAAGTTCCTCGTACCGCAAGCTCTCTTCCCCGATCTCCCCGATCTCCCTGATAACCTATTTCATCAAATTGCTTCGTTTCGGCTTCCCCTGAGTAGACTCCCTGTCTCTCCATCGCACGGGAAACGGCGGCCTCTTCTTCTGCAGAGAAACCCCAGTAAGCTAAAGACCGAACAAATGGGAACGGGAAAACAAGGAGGATTGCTTGTCAGATTAGGAGAGAATCGAACCCCACTCACGTCGTTTCTTCTGAGCCTTGTTCAGCTCCATGAGCAGCAAGAAATTCTGCCTCTCCAGACGCACCAGCCCCAACCCCTGAATAAAGTCCCTGCCCGCCAGGACGTCCACGTCATCAATGTTGGGCAGGACGAGAAACTCCGAGGTGTAGACTCTTGTCCCCGGCGGATCTTGCCACATCCAGGTGAGGTTGATGGAACCGCAGGGAACGACGACGTTTCCGCTGGCGTCGGAGACGAGGGGCGGGTTGAGGCAGGCGGAAATCGATGGCCACAAGCCCAGTTCCTCGACGAGGCGTCGCGAGATCCATATTCCGCTGTCGCATTGGGTGTCGAGCAGCACGACGACGGCTCGGCTCGGCAGCGGCTGGGTCACGCCTGCGCCGATGATTCGCATGACGGGGTTGAACTCGGCGGGGTCGTATCGGGGGAGCTGCTTGCCTCGACGGCGAAAGGAAAATCGAGAACCGATGTTGCCCATCGTGTTGATTGGGAGGTTGCGTTGGTGATGGGGCGGTAAGAGCACAAGGGAAAGGTGCCGAAGGGAAGAAAAAGAGGTGGTGGTTGTTGAGGGTCGGTCCGTGGTTGAAGCCAGAAAGCTCAAGCCTAATTATCCGGGTCCTATCGCGGCGTTTAGAATGGGGAATGTGCGCTCGGGTTTTGGATGTTGAGATGCAAATCAGACAAGGTAAGCAGATAAGCAGATCAGCAGAGAAGGGGAAAAGAGCGACGGGAATTGAGAGCTTCTTTCTGGCTCGTTATGATTGGATGAGTGCAAACGCAACAGTTTGATCTGGTTGTCTTGCTTGGTTTGATTACATGTACGTGGGTTTGCTTCAACCCGACGCTCCTGACAGGTTTGGGCCATGACACACAGACCCAAACCCTTTGGCTCGGGTACATCTTCAACTCTTAACCACATTTCCTCCAAGTAATCCCCACATTTTCAGGGGTATTCACCCCTATCACCGCCTTCAGATTCGAACCCAATGGCGCCAGGCGAACCTCCGAGTTGACATTCAACAGTGCCTCCGGTCCACAAGACGACCACACCGTATTTGAGTCCTCAAATGTGTCACTTCGGGAGTACGTGTCGTCATACGGGCCGTCAAGCGTCTTGCTCGAGGAGACCTATAGGTATCCATCTCGTCAGTACACCTCTTTAAGTATTCAACCAATGGGAGGGGGGATTGATGGAAGAGATACGCACCTCAGCCCCGTCACTGCTCGAAAAGAAATACGTCGTCTTCGAAGTCCCCGTGATGCCCTCCGGAAGTCTGGCATACCCAGCGTACTCCGCCTTCGTCACAGAGAACTGCCAGCCAGAAGGATACCTCAACCTCGCCAAGATTTGGCAGTTAGTGCGACCGTCAATGGTGGCTTGACCTCTTCCAGACTCAGCGGTGAAGCTAGTCGAAGGCAGGATGAGAATTGTCGGATCGGACAGTTTCTGGCCAGGGGCGTAGCTTGGGGGGCAGCCAGAGCCGGAGAGGACGATGTCGGAGACTTGGACGTCTTGAGGGAGGTCTGGATGGTGCGCTGCGTCGCGGTGGAGAACGAAGGGCTCCTGGTGGGCGAGCACCGCTGTGACGGTGGCGAAGAACGGGAATGTGTAAGATGGATGCATTTTGGCGGTGCTTGAAAGTCTTGAGCTTCGATGCAAACAGTAAGAAATAAAGTTGGTTGGCATCGATCTTGTTATATGTGTCAGGGGTTCAGGGGGGGCGTGATAGTCATACCCAGCCCCTCAATGAGTTCAATCTCATTCCCCGACGCATCGAATGAGGCAATTGCACCCGCTACATCGCGTGTGGATTGACCAATGGACTGCAGATACCATATAGTGGGTTAACTTAAAGTTCCCCCCTTTCCGGGGACGCGGGGCTTGGGTTAATATATCCCGTGTGGCCTTATTGTTATTTTTAGCTACAGCATGGTAGATTTACCGGTCTTCCCACCACTGCGTGGCAATGGTCTAACAAGAAGCGAGGTCTAGACTCCATGTTTCCCTTCTGAGGGGTGTCGCCTCTCGGCGAAGTCCGGTCGTATTCTTTTGTGACGGAGCTTGAATCTTCGATACTCCGGGTATGTGCCCTGTGGCAATACCCCTGACGCCACCTAGGTATAGTTTTCCCGCGCTAGTGTACGTCGTTCAAGTCATGTGAGACAGAAACAGGGGATCTAAAGTAGTAGAACTGTATCAGCGACCATTTGATCGGTGAGACTATGTAAATTGAGGCGATTGCGGAAGAGAAGTCTAACCACCACAGTCAAGGATAATGTCGCGAGAGATAAAGCAATCCCTCGCCAGACAGGACGCCCGTTCCCAAGTTAATGCATTGCCACATAAAATTCCTCCGCAATACTCAATCGGCATGCCGTCTCAGTAGAGCATGGCTACATTAGCTGGGGCCGCACTGCTGGCTCGTGCCATATCTGGGATTGGATACCATCCCGGGCGGTTGGTCAGTTGGCTTTGGACTGGAGGAAGCCCGACTAGGAGACGCGGTCGCTGTTCTGTTTGGATGCAGCTTCCCGGCGCTATTAAACCCTAAGAAGGGCCGGAGGTACCAGTTTGTCAAGCCATGCTATGTCCACGGCTTGATGAAAGATGAAGCTATCAAGGCGCACGAAGCAGAGCTGATGAAAACAGAGGAATTCTTCATCTTGTAAAAACAGGGGCATATTCTCCTGATTCAGCACGCGAAACTCGATACACACACACACACACACAAAAAAAACCCAATAACAGCCACAAACAAAGCCCCCTAACAATTCTGAATCCTAAAGTAATCCCACTGAAACTGAGGCCCTATGCACTGATCCTGATTTCCAGCATCGTACCACTGCTCCGCAATGCTCAACCGGCATGCCTGCTCAGTAGCATACAACCAGAGCTCGCAGTTGCCCATGTTGTGAAGCTCGAACCCCCTGTGCGGGTCAGGGACACGCGTGCAGCCTAGACAAACATAAACATATCAGCCACCATGTTCAGTTCAGGGGAGAAGATACCTAGGACTGTGTACATACCGACATTCCCACTCCCCGAAAAATGGGCCGTTACCGGGCCCTCGCACTCGCCGTCGCCATAGACGATAAAATCCCAGGCATTAGCCGCTGTAGCCAGCAGCACCAGGCTCGCGCCGGTCAGCGCCGTCTTGCGTAGGAGCATCATCTTGAGCAGGAGGTGCGGTATCCTTGTTCTTAAAAGGGGAAACCCGTGCTCGGACTTTGATGTGGTCGGATTCGTATACGGGGTCCTCTGCTGAGCGTTTTTCAAAGACAAAGTCGAGGACGGCGCGGCGGAAGACAGGCGGGTCGATCTTGTTGGGGGCTTCAATGAAGATGTCTTTCTTCCACTCCGGGGCGAAGATCAGGTAGCGGATGGGGAAGGGGACGTCGGCTGCGTGGTCGGCTTCGTACTGGTTGAAGACGGTGTCGCGCCAGGTGGAGTTGAGATTTCGGGTTGTCATGTTGAAGAGGTGGAGAAGCTGAGAATTGGGATCGAGTCGAGTATTTGTATTCCTTCTTCACACTTCGTTCCTCCCGTTGCTGTATTCCCTCTGAGGCAGGTCGTTTCTGAAGCAGGCGGAATGAACTTGAACCATGGAACAACCGTTGTCAGTTGAACGGCGCGGGCTGTGAAAAAGCCTAGCTTTTATGGCGCCTTTGTAGGAACGTTGACCTGACTTGGGGGCACGGCGCCGCACTTATATTGCGACAGGGGCACAGTTGAGAAGTCGCCTTGTGAGGATCCCCTAGCGGGGAGAACATTGAGACTGAGCCTTTGGTTAGGCAAACACGATGACGTCATGTTAAAGCAGCGAATGGGATCACCTGCGGTTAAAGCTGGGCCGTGTGAGGAGATGGATGTATGTTGGTTCTTGTGTAACCGGGGCGCTGCGCGGAGGCTTTCCATGCGGGTTGGTGGCGAGAGGAACCCGAAACCGCACAGGACCAAAATGCCTGAAAAGAGAGATAGGCTCACAATGCCAGTCTTTGCCTTCTCGACCGGAAACAACCTTCTAGCATTCTCTCCATCTGCGCCTCTCATCCATCGAGCCAAGTCCGCCTTTCACCAGCATCCACTGCCACCAAACAACCAACAAGCGTATCCAAGGACCTCTACGCCCCTTCCTCCCCTCCGCGCCGCTTGCCGCCCTGAGCTGGCTGTCCGCGCTGTTCAGCCAAGCAAGGCACACAACCTGCTTTCCGCCGAAATGTCGAATGACGACGCCGCATTGCACCATACCCCTTTCATCGAATCCTCATCGGCCCCGCCCTCCCCTCATCCCACGCCTCCCCATCCATAATGCCATGCACATACGCTTCCCCAACGAGCCCCCAGCCGCCACCCTCCCCCTTCCGCAAAACAAGCGGCACCCTCCCTCCCCGCGCCAAAACAATCTTATCCCCAACTTCAGCCGACCTCGGAGCAAGACAGAGGTACCCGTTCTCTCCCCTCACCAGTCTCCGCTCATACGC